AATTGGGCCGGGTCAATAGTTATTAAGGTTATATATACGAGTAATAGCCCGTATTCCCTATACACATATTCGACGAACAAGTGTTTCTCAGATGAATTGTTCTTAAAATTACTATGGTATAAATCTAAACTATCGTATACCCGGATATAACATGTAATAAAGTTAATATAATTATTTTTATTAATTCCTTCGATTCAGTTTATTATTCGAGTAAAAGTGGATTATCTAAATTATATACATGAAAAATTAAAAATTAAACATTGAAGCAACGTGAATATAATTTAATTTTTACCATGTTTTTTTTTTCTACGTATCCAATTCAACATAAACAAACAACACATTTTTTAATTTATAATATTTGTTAAGATTATTATAAAATTCTATATTTATTTTTTTTTATACATTTTTAAAAATTTGTTTTCAATAAACTATTCATTCAAAACAAATTTTCTATCAACTCGAATGTTTGTACAAATGATATATTTACACTTATATTTGAGTGTTGAAATTCTGTTTAAGTTGTACATGAATATGAATTCAATGTTATTATAGTAATAAATTAATCTATCATATCAAAGTAAATCCCATAAGTCCCAATAGATCTAAAACTAAAAATATTGAAATATCGTTGATAAATCATCTCCTATTATTCTTAATAATTAAAATAGTGTCAGTTTTGTTTATTTTTTATTGTGATATCCTGTAAATTACAAAATTGAATGTAGATTTTATCTTGTGAATCAATTTTTACTACAAGATTTTCTTGAAAACTAGAAATTTAAATTTCAAAACATTATTTTAATTTTTAAATAATACCAATGTTATACACTGTGTAAAGAAGATGTAGTAACATTATAATACCTACATACAAAATAAAATATATTTTTAACATTAGTATGAAATTGAATCCTCTCCTTATATTTTATAATATAAATTTCGTATCCAAAAATTGTTATAAAATCTTCATATTATAGATAATATTATATGTACTTGCAACCAAAAAACATTTTTTTCAAATATTTATATATATATAAAAAAAAAATATTTTCAATTATTTAAATATTTTATTATTTAGAATATACACAAATCATTCTGGTATAAAAAACCGTTTACATGTGGAAATGATTTACTGAAGTGTAAGTTCAACGGTACAAATACAATAAAAACAAGAAAAAAACTCATATTCATATAACGTTTGAGAAAATAATAGATTCTTAAAAAAAAATGTAAATAAAAAAGTGACAGTTCAGAAAATGAGTAAGTTACAGAAAATTGGAAAGATATTCTAAAAATAATATATTTTTACTAAAATACTAAAATTTAGTGTTTATTTAAATTAAAATATATGTTAAATTGGTACTATTAAAAATTATTCAGGGTTAAGTTCAATATAAAAATATTAAAAGGTAAAAACGTTAACTAATGATTTCATTACATTAACGAACACTTATCAAAATGTGACTCACAACTATTAGTTATGACTAGTACAGAAAACTTAAAGAATTTGCATATTTATTTTGCACAATAACAAAAATAGCAACTTATGAAACAAACACGTTTCATGCCTTCACAAAGTCTTGAAATTATATTTTGCATATAAATGCATATTCTGAGTTTATTTTTTTAATGGGATATTTCTTTTATTTCATATTTTTAGATGCATATTTCAAATAAATAATAATTTTATCATTACTTTTCCGCTGACGTTTTTATTTCATTTTATATAAAATATTGGTGAATTAAAAATAATTATTAATTTTGATCACATGATTGTTGACTTGCAGACGCATGTTTTTCCTAGAAATACGTCTCGATGATCGCCGTTTAGATTAATTTTATTTATAAACAGTAAACACGTAGTCTATATCAGGGGAGCCAACTATATATACTATTCATTAATTTTTATTATTTTAATTTTTATATTTGTGGGTTTAACAGAGACATATAAATTTTCAGAAAATAAATAAATATTCAACTGTTTTCTGTAAAAACTCGAAAAAAATGAAAGCAAGTCGAGATCGACTCGAACTCTGTCACAAACGACATGTTGGCCACCCCTGGTCTATATCATAAAATTCGACCAATACTCTCATATCTCTATTACATAGGCATTTCAGTACGTCAGCGACCAGTGAAGTTCTTAGCTCAGAGAGTGTAGACGCCTGGAGAGAGGTTAGAGAGCTACCCTTGAGTTAAGAAACGGTTTCCAAGTTGCGGCTGGCCTCAACGATTTTACGTTACGATTGATCGTTACGTGTATGTTGGTTTCATACAATAGGGCTGAATACTGCATCTGGCATTTATTTACAGTTTAGTTTAGTTCAGCTCAATACTTCGATGTGCAAAAGCGTATTTTTTTTTTTTTTTTTTTTGTTACAGATTACTAAAAATAAAACAAATAATTATAAATAATAATAAAATAATCATACATGTACATATGGAAGAGGAGAAAGAAGAAGAAAATATGAATACTTCAAATATCTATAAGACTTCTTCGATTAACAGCTCATCGTCAGTTGTAGAGTTTTCGACATTTTTCGATTGAATAAATTCGTTTATTAAAATATATAAAAACTCGTTCATAATAAAATTGCAATGCGATGCACATAATATACTATAACTGCTTTCAGGTTAGTTATTTACTTTAAGTATAGTCAATTACACCGTCGTTGCGGCTAGTCATGTCTTGGAAAACGTCTGGAGATTGAAACGTAAACTGGAGACAAAGGAGTTAGATGATGAGGACAAAGAGCTTGGCAGGAAGAGAAAGTGATAGACAGTTAGGAGGAAAGCAAAGTGCATGTAATGATTTAGAAAAAAAATTTTAAACAAAAATTTAAAAACAAGAAATTTTCATCAGTAGTTCTAAATGTTTTTGAAGCCACGACTTCCTATAATGTCAATAAGATTTTGATCGACCCTTTTATTATGATAATATTAAAAAGTAGTGATATATTAATATGATTAATATAACGTTTTTATTGGCAATCCTAAACTTTAATCAATTGTAATTCTTAACAATAACTATCATGATATTATTTATACAAAATTTGTTATTTACAAAAACACCTTACCAATTATTTTATATATTGGTGACCCTAAAAAAATTGTTGGAGACCTCTAATATGAGAATGGCTGGTCTATACGTACATCATACAATTTCCGATAAAATGTTAACAATTCCAAAAACGATGCTAAAAATGTTATGACACTGGCTTTTGTCAATCGTTGTTCGTCAATAATTTAATATTTTAGTCATTTATTCTTAGTTCTGCCGTATGTGTATGTGCGTTTATTCGTAATTCTTGTCAACTATTCGTCTTTATAAACTATTTTAACATTCTACTTTTTTTTCTTTTTTTTGGTATCAACCCTAAAGGGGCTAGTTTTACAATTGTATATTTTTCTTGATCCATATTGCTTTACTAGGAATTATAATATGGTGAGTTCCTTCTCATTCCACATCGCAGTTGATAAGCCAGTACTTGAAGTAACTTCAAGCTGCCGTCATAAATTTCTTCCATTGCCATTAGCCGTTAGTTTTGCTGTAAAACTCGCCAATGGTCGATAATAGGGTTTGCTGCTGCCGTCTGCTACCTCCTTTTAATTACCTTTCACTGTAAGCAGAAGCTACTTAACGTTAAAATGCCAAAAGATAAACCGTATTTTAACAGTCGGTTAAAGAGCTATTTATCGAAATTTAGTGTCGACGTGTTTTCGACAGACGGTTGAGAATAAAGAAAAAACAATAGTATTTATGTTAGAAGAAACTGATTAGTGATTACTTCAATCATTGATTATATAACTAATGAATGTAATGCGTTCACATGTAACACAATTGTAATACAACCAAAATTAATTATGCTTATTATAAGATATTTATCAAACTAATAATAATATTATCGTATAGATAATACTCCACTATAAGTCTTCACTCTGTTTCTGTAATATTTATTTATGTAGTACCCTAACTATCTTCTGTGGCAACCTCAGCGAATTTTATTTTTGGACTTATTTTATACAAAAATACAGTTTTAATTGAACTCAAATATGCCTCCTTATTTAACTGCTCCCATTTCGCCAACTTCTAATTACCGCACTATTCTTATGATATCAATTATGCTTACTGCTTATTATTCAACTGAGTGTAACCGATTTAATTAATATAATATTAGTATACACTTTTTTGTATTTTCCAAAACATTGTATTTAGAGGAGCAATTTCAAATAGTTGATAAATGAAACAATTAATTTTAGATAACTAAATTAAATTCCAATAAAGTTTAAAGAATTATATTTTAAAATAATAAACAACCCATTTAAAAACACATGAGTCGCCTATATATTAATAAATAATTAACAATACAATTCCCTAAGTATAAGAAATTTAAAATCCATGATTGTCAAAAAATCAAATATGTATCTTTATTGTATAGGTCTATTCATAACGAAATTTATAATTTACTATTTAAAAAAAAACGCTTCGTTATACTCAATATAATAATTAATGATCACTGTTGTTGAATAAAGGAAACCGACAAAATATCATCAACAGTTTCAGACGGTTTGACGTTTCAAAAATATGTATTTTTTTAAATTGTTTTCACCGAGTACTGTTAATTTCTCTCTTTAAATATGTACAATTTAACAAAATAGCCATTCGTTTTGTAGCGTTGTTCGTCATTGTTCGAGATTTTTACAAAATGAAAATATAGCCCTCCGTCATATGTACCTAACGGTTGAACTTAAACGTACGTCTGAAGATCGGTATCGTGTGTTATGTATGGTACGTGTGTACAACATACGCGTGTTGAATAACACTCAATGTACCCGATGGAACTGCGTTCAGTACTGCGGTATGAAATAAAGGTCATTTTTATGTATATATATATATATATATAATATGCATAACATTATACATATAATTATCAGCAACAAGAGGGACGACAGTGGAGAGTTATAACAAGAGGTGGGGGAGCAAGAAGCTTTGCACCACGTTCACGATGGTCACTATAGTTGTTTACTATCCCGCCGAACGAACAGTCGCAGTGCTTCGCGTTTGTTCTCCATAATTGTACACAGCAAACTGCAAATTTTTTTTCGAAATACTATCTAATTTTTTTCTCGTTGTTATTACTGTTAATTTGTTTTACCATCATGATCCGTTGTCAAATATACACAACGATCGTCATCGCGTTCGGATATTTCATTTTGCTACCCAATTACTGTAAGATATATTAACAATTTCGTACATTTTAAATTCATACAGTTTAGTCGTAAATTCGTTTGTTAATTTGGTTTTAATTTGCACAGGCGAAGCCATTAACTGTTGGGTATGTTCTACGGACACCGACCAACGTTGCAACGACCCGATGAATATGACCAAGAGTGCAATTGAAGATTGCAGTAGAGCACCTCACTCGGCATTCTTGCAACCTGTGTGTAAGAAACAGAAACAAAGAGGTATTTATTCCAATAACTTTTAAAAAAATTGTTTCTAAATAATTAAACCATATGATTTCGTTTATTAACAAAAAAAAAATATGCGTTAAAAATAAAATAGTCAGATTACTTCAGTAAATAAAATTACACATTAAGATTTTAGAACTCCAGAGTAATTCGATCCAACTCCAAGACGTTACATACCATTATTGTTTTGATTTTGCACAGTAAACTTTTAAACAAAATATTTAATACACTTTCATGTATTGTTTAAAATGTCATAACAATCTTATAATTAAATTCTCGATGTTGAAATAAAAAAATGTAGAAATATTTCAGAAAAAAAGTCATAACTAATTTAAAAAAATAATAAAATAAAACGGCACTTAGATTACATTCTCAATTTTCAAGTAAATTTAACTTATATAACGAATAGATGATCATTTATCAACAATATTAATCCCTTTTTTCGTGTCATCCTAATATATATATATATATATATATATTTGCTATAACTTATATGCTATATGAATCTGAAAAATCATTCCATAACTTTTTCAGTTGATATAATACATTTAATATGGTGAAAATCGTAGTCTAACAAATGTTTATTATTTTTAAAACATCCAGTAATATGGTGTACAAATAATTATAAATAAACATTTTTATAATTTACAATTACTATAAGAGCCCAGATTTCAAAAAAAAATATTTCTATCTGTTATATTGTATACTGCTCAATAGGGGTAAAAACAAGCTTTGCGTTTCACAGCCTGTATACTCTATTAATACAATTATTTTGCATGTAATATTAATTAAGAATATTTCAGTATAAGTCTGATTGAGAAACATTATTAAGAATATTTTAGTATACTTGAATAGCTTAACATATGTAGAAAATAATATTTTCAAAATTGTATCATGTAATTTTTAAAGAATTTTCTTTTAGTTTTTGAAGATAATTCTAGTTATTTATATGATAATAAATAAATATAATTCATAATATTTCCAAGTCCTATTTACAAATATATTTAATTAATTAATTTTTTTTAAATTTTATTTCTCGGGTGTTATCCTCTTAATGACACCGACATTTGTATTATTTTAAATTAATAGATACATACTGAGAGAGCTGTATACATTATTGGGGTGTTATTTTATCTTCATTATGGAACCTCATGTTTTTTGATGATTGAATTAAGACACAATAGACTGCATTTAATTGCCTGCTTAATTGTTATTAACCTTTTAGACAGTCTTTAAGGGTCTTGTAAGGAACAACGAAACGCCGGAAATTCAAATTTGTTAGCCCGCCCGGAATTTTTTAATTGATATTTACATTTTAATTAATTTTTACCAATAGATTATGAAAAGTTGTGTAACTTAATTATTTTATTAGATGAAAATGTCAAATTTTAGAAATCAACTGAATGAACAAAAACTGTGGGTGCGTTTACAGGAAATTGTAAATTATCTATATATACTTTATATTAATGATGTTGGTAATGGTGCAATTAGGAGAACAAAAAAAAATCAATTGGTAGGTGTGTAGTAGTATTTTATTTTAAAATCAGAGATCACATTTGAACCGAATGAACATCCTCAGAAGTATCCATCCATATTCAATCGTACTAATAAAGTTAGTTAGTAGTTGGCTGTTTAACGATATCAATTATTGAGATTTAACATAACAAAATAAATATTATCATCCATTTTCCAATATTGATATAACCGTAGAACTACAGATTTGTAGGTTCACAATGAAAACGTACATAGTTTATAATCTGATTATCTACCTATTTCATTTACATATTTAACAATTTATACTGTATAATTGCAACCAAATGAAATAAATATTATTATTAATAATAATACAAATATACTGTTTCAACCTTTATTATTATTAATGTACAATGTATATCAATACTTACGGCAGAAAGGTATGATTACGTCTTGCTATATTGATGACACTATTAACTGATTTTTAAAACTGTTATTTCGGTCCATGCATTAAATCATAATACCGTACATTTAATCAGAAGAGATCAATGAAATAATAAAATCATCTTATGTTATGAACAAATTTTTGGTGAGAACAAAAATGTATATAAGGTACCACCATTGATAGGTTTATATAATTAACCAAAACATAACATTTTATATCATCAAAAAATGCCTATATTTTTTGTACTTTATTAGTTAGTTGTTTGTACTAAGATGATATAGTCTTACAAGTTACAATATTAAATATATTATTATTAAACCCAGTATGGTAGTGCCCACCGACCAACCACCAAATGTTGAAGACGCAATCGCTCCAAAATAATACCTACACCACGCCACTGCGAAACTATTTGACTACATTTCTAATGTTCACATTTTTAATTCTTCATGTTATTGAATCTTTTTTTCAGTATAATATACAAAAATAAACTGTAAATTATATTAAATTTTATAAATATAAAAAATAAGACATATTAAACGCAATGCATATAGGTAATTTTTTTGATTTTCCTTGATAATAATAAAATTTTAGGTACATTTAAATATTATTCACATGATTTAATTTTTTTTTTACATAAGAAATAATATAACGATTGGAGCCATGTCAGATATTAATATATATATATCAGAATAATATAATAATAATAAATAATAATTTATGGTTATTTCAAGCTTTGTCGATTGTGATGGCAACAGTGGAAATTTAATTTGATTGGACGATGCACGAAATGCACAACTTGTTGTCCTCAAATCAGAGATCTTTCGAGTTTGAGAACTTAAAGAAATCATTTATTGCGCAGTGCAATAATTTTTAAGATAGGTACACAAATGTGTATTAAAAAATAATATAAAACGTTTTTAAATGTTGATAATTTTGTTTGTAGGCTATTGTAAGACCAGACTGAAACCATTATTCCAGTATTAACAAGAATATTTATTTTGAAATATTTTATAAAATAACTCACATTTTTAATATGATAGTCTTAATAAAAAAATATTTGTTCAATTTTTTTTAACAGTTATTTTGGTAAATAATAAGGTTATTGCAATTTTCAAACGCAATTTTGGATATTTTTTACTGTAATGATGCAATCAATTTTAATGCTTATTAGTACAATAATTTCCGAGCCCTAGTTATTACCAACGGATAGCACAAAAGTATTATAATGCATATTTTACAGAGTAATTAATGCGAATATTATAGAATAATTCATCTATAGCTGAAAACAATAAATGAAACAACTCGATTCGTTGCAGCATAATTTCAAAACGGACTAGATTCAAACTATATAGCACAAATATATACTTTTGTTAGATATCAAATATTTTTTTCCGAACCAGGCGAACCAGTCCACAATCGTTGTGCGTAAAATCGGACGTTTCCGCCGGTTTAACATATTTAATTTGAATAATAAAAATAATAAATCATCGGCAATGACTGTCTAAATATATTGTAAATAATATTCCATATAACTACAAACATAATGTGTATACATTAATGATCATACGTACAAACGGAGCAGGGGAGTGGTGGGTGGGGGATTTTTTCCCAATATCAGAAATAAAAATATTACCATCTCACAGAAAAATCTACAGAAAATATTCACTCGACAGTTAGACAATATATTTGTGTAATACGACTATGCTCTTATTTCGGGGACAATATTTTGCTTTATTTTATTCATAAATCATGTCACACGATCTATATGATTCTATATAGCGTTTTCGTCAAAAAAACTGTGCTGTTCTGTATATTCGGTGTAATAATATTGTGACTGTTATAATTTTTCTTTTCGAATGGATGTAGAACTGTTTTCGTGGAAATCGTTTCTCGATAGAATATAAGTTAGTAATATAATATATGCGTACGTATTACACGTATTACATTACATATCCGTGATCTGTGATGTATACTCGAGGGATTTTTTCGCTCGAAATCGTTTTTCTAAAATCTAAAGAGAATATTTAGATATTTAAAAGGAGGATTTACCAAGGTGATTTATACGTAAAATTAAGTGTAATGTGTAATGATAACAAGGAAGGATGTATGAATTCCTCCCACATAATAGATACACCACTGAAGAGCACTTACCGGTTGTAATTACCGCATGGTTGGTATTACTTATAAGAAATCGTTTCGTCCTGTAGTCATTCTACATACACACACACACACACACTTAAGGGGATTGCAAGCCATGATTTTCTTTCTTTTTCAATCACACGCGCAATATAAAGATTTAGACGGTTTTCTATTTCCAACCTACCGATCGATCTATGATTTTAAAACTGATTCGAATTTGTCGTAAAGTCTTCTGTAGACCGACTTTCTCTCATTTTTTTAATTTTGTTCTTAACAGGTACCAAAAAATTAATTTTTATGTTTCCGATTTGTTTAATCCTATTTTGTGAAATTTTGGGAGACAAAATCAAAAAAGTAAGGGAGTCGATCTCAAGAAGACTATGACGAATTTAAATCAGTTTTCAAAATCCTTATCGCATCAATAGATCAATCGGTACGTTGGAAATAGAAAACGTCTGAATCCCTATACTCCGCGTGTGATAGAAAGAGAAAGAAGATCATGGCTTGCGATCCCCTTAACTGATTTCGAAGGAAAACAAGTCAATGGTAAACACGTGACATTACAAGTGATGTATTTTACATCTTATTCGAAAGCATGTATTCCACGAGGGTCTTTCTTTTTTCTAAAATGAACGATTTCAGAACAAGTGGTTCGCGTTAATAAACATGTTCGTTCGTAATAATATACATATTATGTACAATGTATGTGATTTTTAACGACGAAAATAAATGATATTAACAAAACGCGACTATTAAACATGACATAAAATTTTAACTTGATATTTTAGAACAATTCAATATAGTATAAATATTGTGCGTTTTATTCCGAAAGAGCACAAGTACATACATAACTATAATACAAGTGATCTTATTATCTTATCAAATAAAATTGTACAAATAACGATTGTATCCCCTGAAATGTTGTCGAATTTCACCA